AAAATTCTGAATGTATTTATTTATTTTTTTTTTTGCATGAATGTAGATTCCAGCAAGATTCTTGAAGAATACTGTTTGATACAGCCTTCTGGTTTGACTTTGAAGCACTGCTTTTCCACTGAATTTTTCTTACCAGTTCTGCATTTCCTAATAGCCTCACCTACTGCATATTTGTATAGTTGTTAGACATGGTGAGGGAGCATAAAAATCTGTAAAAGTCAAATTATTTGACTCCTACTGCTTCTCTCCTATTCATCCTGTCAAGGAAGAAAATTAGATCAACTTGACATGACTTGTTACTAGTACATTCATGCTAGTTGTTACTCATCTCTTGATCATTTTCTAGATGCCTACAAATTGATCATTTGAGTATATTCTGGCATTTTTCCAGGATCTGTTAAAATGACAGCTGTATAATTCTTCAGCTGCTCTTTTTTGTTGTCTTCTCCAAGATAAGCTCAGTGTTTGGAAAAGTTGAAAAAACAGCTTCCTAGACTCTAGGATCACCACTAGCAGTTATGTCTGCTAAAGCAATTTGTTTATTGCTTCAAGCTTAAATTTTGTCAGGTCCAACCAAACTGAGAATAAACGGAGAATATCAGGTGTATATATCATCTTTAACCTGCTCTTTGCATATATATATACAAAAAAAAAAATCTCACCTTTGCCTTTTGTGCCTTTTAATGCAACATTTTGCCATCTTCGGTTAAAGAAATTTGCAACCTTTTATGGTTCATACATTGCATTAGATATATATTATGAATGATCTAGTAGATATTCTGAATAACTTCTTTCTGATAACTGTTGCTCCTCATTCTAGTCTCATTAATGTTCCTATATCTGTTAATCTTGATACTTATTGATGTGGAATAAATGGATACCATCTGTACAGTAAAGTGTTCTGGTCTGGCTTGGGACAATAGATATAGTGCCCTCAGTGTCTTCAGTGCTTACAAGATTTGATAATTATTATTATTTTTAAAGAATCACTGTCATCTTTTAGAATTATCTGAAACTAAAGAGTTATATGTTTGTTTCACTGCACACATTCCTTTCAAGCTGTGAAGCATGAACAAGCTAAATATAGAGTAATCACACATAGGAATACATGTACATGCACATGAATATCTCAGTTAGCTTTTTTTTCAAGCTGAGAATGGAGGGCTACATTTCAATATGGCATCCCTGATAATTATCTTCTACACTTTCTGCATATAGCCCTGTGTGATGCTTTAATTAGTCTTTTGATAAATTTCAAAGTTTGGGAACTTAATAATTAGAGTGTATGGTTAGTTAAAGCTATAACTATTGTTGCTGTTAGTTTGTCAGTATTTATTCTCAGAAGGCTGCTGATCTCATTATATGCTAGGATAGGATCATCAGAAGCATGAGACATCACAAGAGGAAAAATTCCAAGCAGAAATGAAACCTCTAAGCTAGCAACACAACATCATGGGCAAATGCTCTCATTGGCATCATTCTGTTGATAATGTTTCTACAACAGAATCACAGAATCACAGAATCACAGAATTTCTAGGTTGGAAGAGACCTCAAGATCATCGAGTCCAACCTCTAACCTAACACTAACAGTCCCCACTAAACCATATCCCTAAGCTCTACATCTAAACGTCTTTTGAAGACTTCCAGGGATGGTGACTCCACCACCCCCCTGGGCAGCCTGTTCCAATGCCTCAAAACCCTTTCAGTAAAGAAATTCTTCCTAACATCTAACCTAAAACTCCCCTGGCATAACTTTAGCCCATTCCCCCTCATCCTGTCACCAGGCACATGGGAGAACAGGCCAACCCCCACCTCTCTACAGCCTCCTTTAATGTACTTATACAGAGCGATAAGGTCACCCCTGAGCCTCCTCTTCTCTAGGCTGAACAAGCCCAGCTCCTTCAGCCGCTCCTCATAGGACTTGCTCTCCAGGCCCCTCACCAGCTTCGTCGCCCTTCTTTGGACCCGCTCAAGCACCTCAATGTCCTTCTTGTAGCGAGGGGCCCAAAACTGAACACAGTACTCGAGGTGCGGCCTCACCAGAGCCGAGTACAGGGGGACGATCACCTCCCTAGCCCTGCTGGTCACAGTGTTTCTGATACAAGCCAGGATGCCGTTGGCCTTCTTGGCCACCTGAGCACACTGCTGGCTCATATTCAGCCGACTGTCCACCATCACTCCCAGGTCATTCTCTGCCAGGCAGCTCTCCAACCATTCCTCTCCCAGCCTGTAGCTCTGCTTGGGGTTATTGCGCCCCAGGTGCAGGACCCGGCACTTGGTCTTGTTGAACTTCATACAGTTGACCTCAGCCCATCGGTGCAGCCTATCCAGATCCTCCTGCAGAGCCTTCCTACCCTCGAGCAGATCGACACACGCACCTAGCTTGGTGTCATCTGCAAACTTACTGAGGGTGCACTCAATGCCGTCATCCAGATCATTGATGAAGATGTTAAAGAGGACCGGCCCCAGCACCGAGCCCTGGGGGACGCCACTAGTGACTGGCCTCCAACTGGACTTGGCTCCATTTACCACAACTCTTTGGGCCCGGCTATCCAGCCAGTTTCTCACCCAACGAAGCGTGCGCCAGTCCAAGCCAAGAGCAGCCAGTTTCTTGAGGAGAATGCTGTGGGAGACGGTGTCAAAAGCCTTGCTGAAGTCAAGGTAGACCACATCCACAGCCTTTCCCTCATCCACCCAGCGCGTCACTTTGTCGTAGAAAGAGATCAGGTTCGTCAAGCAGGACCTGCCTTCCATAAACCCATGCTGGCTGGGCCTGATCGCCTGCTTGCCCTTCAAGTGCCGCATGATGACTCCCAAGAGGATCTGCTCCATGAGCTTCCCTGGTACTGAGGTCAAACTGACCGGCCTGTAGTTCCCCGGGTCTGCCCTCCGGCCCTTCTTGTAGATGGGCGTCACATTTGCTAGTCGCCAGTCAGCTGGGACCTCCCCCGATAGCCAGGACTGCTGATAAATGATGGATAGGGGCTTGGCCAGCTCCTCTGCCAGTTCTCTCAGTACCCTTGGGTGGATCCCATCCGGCCCCATCGATTTGTGCACATCCAAGTGCCGTAGCAGGTCACCAACCAGTTCTTCGTGGATGGTGAGGGCCACATCCTGCTCCCCGTCCCCTTCCACCAGTTCTGGGTACTGGGTATCCAGAGAGCAACCGGTTTTGCCGCTAAAGACTGAGGCAAAGAAGGCATTAAGCACCTCCGCCTTTTCCTCATCTCTTGTAACTAAGTTTCCCCCCGCATCCAGTAAAGGATGGAGATTCTCCCTAGTCCTCCTTTTTGTGTTGATGTATTTATAAAAGCGTTTTTTGTTATCTTTAACGGCAGTAGCCAGATTGAGCTCCAGATGAGCTTTGGCCTTCCTAATCTTGTCCCTGCACAGCCTCGCTACATCCTTATAGTCCTCCTTAGTGGCCTGCCCAATTTTCCAAAGATTATAAACCCTCTTTTTCCTCCTAAGCTCAAGCCACAATTCTCTGTTGAGCCAGGCTGGTCTTCTTCCCCGCTGGCTCATCTTTGGGCACATGGGGACAGACCGCTCCTGCGCCATTAGGATTTGCCTCTTAAAGAGCGCCCAGCCTTTCTGGACCCCTCTGCCCTTCAGAACCGCCTCCCATGGGACTCCACCAACTAGTGTCCTGAGCAGCCCAAAGTCAGCCCTCCGAAAGTCCAATACAGTGGTTTTACTGGTTCCCTTCCTGGCCCCGCCAAGAATAGTGAACTCCACCATTTCGTGGTCACTCTGCCCAAGACTGTTCCCGACAATCACATCCTCCACCAGTCCTTCTCTGTTTGTGAAGAGAAGGTCTAGCAGGGCACCACCCCTGGTAGGTTCACTAATCAGCTGCGTCAGGAAGCTATCTTCCACTTTCTCCAGAAACCTCCTAGACTGCTTCCTCTGGGCTGTGTTGTGCTTCCAGGATATGTCAGGGAAGTTGAAGTCCCCCACGAGTACAAGCGCCGACGAATTCGCAACTTCTGTCAGCTGCCTGTAGAACTCCTCATCCGTCTCCTCATCCTGGTTCGGCGGTCTATAGCAGACCCCGACCAGGACACTAGCCTTGTTGTCCCTGCCGATCCTAACCCAAAGGGACTCGATCTTGTCATTCCTAGCCTCGAGTTCTACAACATCGAAAGACTCTCTAATATAGAGAGCCACACCGCCACCCCTTCTGTGCTGCCTGTCCCTTCTGAAGAGCCTATAGCCAGGCATCGCAGCACTCCAGTCATGAGACTGGTCCCACCACGTCTCCGTGATGGCAACCAAGTCGTAGCCTGCCCGCTGCACGATGGCTTCCAGCTCCTCCTGTTTGTTACCCATGCTGCGTGCATTGGTGTAGATGCACTTCAGCTGGGCCTTTACCTTATCCTCCGGCCTTGCCATTGCTCCCCCTGGCACAGCCCCAACAGTCCTTGCTTCAGCCCCATCCCCCTTCTTACCTAGGGGGACACAAACAGCAGTTTGAGTACCCTGACCCAGTTATTTGGTAGGCTATGCAGTAATGCATGAACTGGGCAGAGTTTCAGACCTGACTGCAATTAACAGTTTAAGGGCAGATTTCCTACTAGGCACAAGTGAAATGTATGCCCTAACTCTTGAAAGCCAGTGGGAATATCTCCCATTTTTTGGCCTTCATTAGCTTCCCTCCAATAGCTAGCTCACAATGTGGAGGGCGAGGGCATGACAGCAATTTTGTCTGTTGCAGCCATGCTTACTCCCTGACCTGCAGGTGAGATGCAACACCAAGCACAAGGAGGCCCTGCCACACCAGCACCAGCCAGTTCTGCACTGGACTCCCTCGGTCAGGAGCAGAGTGCATAGCTCCAGACCAAGACAGCCAGGTCCAGCTGAACATTTCAGGGTAGATTTGTGATTAAGGATACAGTGACTCAGTGTAGGAAAGGAGCAAGGGACTGCACACCACGAGGCACAGCCAGTCTCAGGCAAGGCTGAACTGCAAAACAGTAGATCTTATGGGCGATACCTACCTGTTGCATTGCATTCTTCTTCATGACAGCTGACAAATAGCTTCTCAAACAGCTCAGTATTGTGCCAATGTAAGTGGTGAATAAGCAGATGAAAGTGCAGATCTGAATTAAAAATAATAATTCTTTATTTCACCTTCCTCTGAGACAGATAAATTTCTGCAGTAAGAAAGTAGTAAGTATGCAAGTAAACTATGCTCCAAATGTCATTTTAGATTGATTTTACTGTTGTCTTCCTAGTGGTCAGTTTCACATTTTTTTGTATTTATTAATGTTGTCAACAAATGATTTACCTGCATTTTCTTTTTTAATGTGTGAAAATGCTTGCAGAAGATAGATATAAGAATTTAGATAGGAGAGATGCTGCAGCAGAAGATTCTATATCACATACACACCAGAGCAGCTTTACAGGTAACAAAAATTAGTTTTCACTGACCATTTTGACCTTCCTATTTCAATAGCTAGTCTTTTGAAGTACCAAGTCCAAACTACAGAACACTGCAGTTTAATTCCACAGAAAAGAAATAAAGAAATCAACTTCCCTTTAATACTTACTACAAACATCTTGTTGTCACCCTCTACCATGAATAAATTGGTCTCAAAACCAATGAAATCTCTGACTTTAGACAAAGTTCAATCTTGTTTACAGATTTCACAGATCCTATCATACTATTTTGCATTTTTATTACTACCTTGTGTAACATGGAAATGCGACATAAGTGTATATCAAATCTGCCTTATTTATTTACATAACTCTAGTTGAGTGTTGAACAAAGAATCTGGATTGTTCCAAACATCTGACAATTTCTCTGAAGCTCCATTTGATGGATCAGCAGTCATTGTATATCTCTAGCAATGAATGTAAAATTGGAATTTTAAATGTTATTTCCATATATGAGAAGAGAACATTATGTTATCTGCTCCACCCAAAGCTTTAAAATCTCTGTTGGAGAAGTTATCAAATGCATTCTATTCAATTTCATACCCCCTATGATCACACAGCTGTGTGATATGATACCACCAAAATAACTTTTCAAGGAATGGAAACACCCCACACGTTAAAACTCAGAAAGCAGTAATAAATCTTAAGGATCCAATTTGCTACAGATGTTGGATATTACAGCAACACAGCTCTGAATATTGCCAGAAAAGCAGTACATGTGATGAAAGTGCAATTTCTAGTTTTCTAAACAGTTTCTGATTAGCTTTTTTAAAAAAGAGAACAAGCTGCATCTGTCAGCTGAAGACTTGTGTTTTAGTTAATCCTAAATTTTCTCCTCGGTATCTACAAACTTTTTGAGATCTCTCTCCATTCTTCAGTAAGTCTTACTGCTATTATAAATCAAGCAAATAATTTGGAGGGAACATTATGTTCCAATTTAGCTGACATAATAGATTCTTATTAGATTATACCTTTCTCTGACACATCATGTACTAGCCGCTGTTGCAAACAGGATACAGGACATTGGATTCACTCTACCATGATAGTTCCTCGGTCTTGTTTAAATATTGTTTGGTAATCCCTCAAAACTTACTTAAGCTACCAGGCAGTCCAACTGCACTCTTATCACAGAACATATGCTTACCTTCATAGACTGTTATCAACAGCTAGTAATGCCTCCCACTTGTTATTCTTCTGCATTTTGGAAGGGTGATGTTAATTTTGTGTTTAAATGAAATAAAAGTGTTAGGCAAATATAAAGACTTGATGTAAACAAACGATGGTTCAGTGCCAAACTACCGACTGAAGGAGAATGTTTTCCTTACATTCAGGTAATTACTTGTTTACAAGCAGTTAAGTATCAAGACATGAGCAAACTTGGTTTGCCATCTTGAAAGAACACAGCTGCGTTTACTTATGCCAAAATCACAGTGTTTCCTAGAGCCTTTTTATTTAGGCAGTGTTTCAGGAAGGAGAGTTAAAGTTAAAAGTGGTCACATCATGAAAGTCTGGGCCAAGCTGAGGGAAAAAAGATACAAGGGAAAAGATTTTAGGAGTCCAGATAGCTAACAAGGTCTTCCTTAGATAAAACTCTACCAAGGATGGGAGTTTTGGCTAAATACCTAATCTATATCATGATTTCTGTATGTATCTGCATAATTGGGAATAGACATTTCTTGGAAATGATATGAGGTATTCACAGATTTGTACACAAAGATACGTGTTTATCTTCCTGTAAACCTAGGAACCATGTTGCTTCACTAGGATTGCTGAAATAGGCTTATTTTTACCTTCATCAGCTAACTTCAGGGTCATTTCCAGGAGGCAAGCAAACAGCAAGGGTTTCCAATCTTATCACCACTGCAACACTTAAATATGAGGCACTAAAGTAGTTACATGATATTTAGGACCCAAGAATGGTATTTAGGCCAGAATCTTCTCCTGAAGGTATGTGTTTTAAAAAAAAAAAAAAAAAAAAAAAAGGATTGATGATGGTGCTGCCACTCACTTATTTTTATGTAAGAGACTTCAGCTCTGTTTAGGATTCAAACAGGTGATAGGAAATACAGATTTTGCATCCTTGCTAGAATAAGTAGAATCTCTCTGGACTATCAATATGAGGTACTATTAGGGAAAGCATATAATCCTGGCCAGTATTCAGCCTACTCCCTTTACACTTCCCAACACTCACCACTGTTGTATTAGTGTTGGCTGAGGGCACATCCTGCTTATGACTTCAGAGAACTGTCTAATTTCAGCATCACCTTCAGGAGTTGCACCTGCCAGTTTTGAGTTCATATGCACAGATTTATTCATTTTTCTCTTTAGAGACATTATTTTGCTTTAACTGAGTAATCTGCATTGAAAACTTTCTGCCTTGTTTTCCTTTTTTTCCTCCCAGTCAGATCTGTGAGGTTCTTCTGGAGCTGCCTGCCATTAGCACAGCATTTAACTACCCAAAAGAGCTGAAAGACATTAACTAGAAGGAAAGTTTAAGACAGAATAACAGAACAATGCTGAAGCTTAGTAGTTAGGACACGTACCAAGGTAAGACCTGATTTCTGTCTGGAATTCATTTAAAATCCTTGAGTATCTGGTTGAATGCAGTGTGTTTTGAAACTTTGTTGGAATTCATAATAAAAATTTAGTCTCATTATCGGTGCACTGAGCCACTTACTTACTCCCACACACAAGTCAGATGCATGGCAAATCAGTTTGCAGAGATCATTTAATTACCAATGAGAGCACCTAGGCCAGTATATCCTAACTCTCACAAATGACCTGTAGTTTCAAGAGTTTATTCAGAAGAGAAGCATTTTGGAAGGTCGGAAGGGATCATTCATCAGAGGCTTAGAAATTGCTCCTCTCTCAATTTTACATACAGCAAAAGGATACAAAGTGATTTTCAAAAACTCGCTTCAGATTTCATTATTTTTCTGAAGAGCGTTTTTTCCACAGAAAGATGTAGATTTCCTTTAAATGATTTCTTAACTATTATATTCTTTCATATTGAATCTGCTATTGAACATAATTTTACACAATCATCCTAGGACTGTGAATAAGAATAATTGTTTATTTACCCTGGCATTCAGAATTTGATTGCTTTTGTACTGCTACATTTTATTGCAATGTACAAAAATTCTCCCTCCCCTTCCCAAAATGAGAAAGAAGGCTAAGCTCCATTAGGTTTTAAACATCCATGAGGTATCATAGTATTACCCTGAACATGAAGGGAATTTAATTTTCATCATTTTACTATAGGAAGTTCAGATTTATTCTGTTTAGAAGTCTAGAGATATTTCTGTAATAATGACAAAGATGAGCTAAACCACTTTCCCTTGCCTCCTCCACGTGCATCATACATGATGGCAGGGCATGTTCTGACAGGGCACATCAGGGAGCATCATGGAAGCCCCAAACTATAATAGTCATGTGGCATGTAGCATGGGGTGCCTCCAAGAAAGGCAGATGAGGGGCAGCATGTGCAGTTCCCGCCCATCTACAGAGGGGCTGGGAGCCACCTGGCAAGAGGGAAGGAAGGAAAGATAAGCACCATGGCTGTCCCCCACTCTGGCACTACTTGCAGCAGAAAATTAGATTTTACTACAGTTTAACACTGGGCAAGTTTTGCCCAAAGGCTTCCTTTGTGTAACTGGTGGCATTGATTTTAACGTCATGATTCATTTATTGTGGCTCTCTTTGTAACTGAAAGATGCATTAAAAATGACTGCAGTCTGCTCAGCAGCCAACTTCAGAGATGTTGTGTCCTGAAAAGCTACTACAAACAAAGACTTCTTGGCTTGGAGCAGATGTTCCAAATCTTCCCACCTCCCCAGGAAATATGGCCAGCTCAACACAGACTAGTGCAAATGCAAGCCTTTGTAAAGACAAAATTCCAGAATTAGCTCCGTTGTACCTTATTATTCCTCTATTTTCTACATATAGCTTGAAAAATGACTGGGGTTTGAAATCTTCCTTGCTCATTAAATAAATAAATAAATAAATAAATAAATAAATCTGAAGCCTAAGGAAAGCATTAGTGTAAGCATTATCTGTTCAGATATCCATCATTTCAGAGGCAGATACTGGAGAAAGGAAAAGAAAAAGACAAAAGAAAAAAAAAAGAAAAAAAAAAAAGAAAAAAAAAAGAAAATAATAAAACTGAAAGATATGAACTACTGACAATAACAATCCTTAAGAGAAACAATGACAAGGATCAAAAAATGAAACAGGCATAGCAGAACCAGGGCAGAAGCAACTGAGGTTTGTCACTGCAGCCACCGTCGTGCTGCACAATGTAAATGGTGACAAAGTTGTGAAGAATTAGCAGTGATGCAAGGCAAGTCTGTGCCCTGGTCTCACCCGCAGACATTGCATTGCTCTTGGTAAAAATCTGTCTTTGAACAGACAGCAGCATATACGGGCAAAATTTATTGGCTGTGAGTCTGAGTATAAATTATTTGCAATGCACAGTCTCTGCTAAAATAACTTTGCACAACTCAGGTATGAGATAGCAAGCCCTTTATAAATTTAGGCAGGAAATTGATAAGAAACTACAATATTAGCTGCTGTGAGTATGGTCTGAATATCTGCATAGCTTCCATAATGCTCTGCCATATGACCCTAATGTAAAGTCTGTGGAAGTTTTGAGATGCAGCCGCTCCATGGCTGGCTTGTCAGTGCTGATCAGCACTTCTGAGTACATATCTGCAGGTGCCAGGATTTCAGATGACCTGACCCTAAGAGCAATAAGCTCTAATCCTCAGGTAAATTTAAAGAGCCCAATTCCCTGCTGATTTAAAACAGGATTGAAGAGTCTCTCCAGCTCCAGACATTGCCTAGTAAGGAATAGCAAGGCAAAAAAAAAAAAAAAAAAAACACAAAGAAAGATTCCCTGCAGTAAGCACAGGCTCACCATTACCATCAATCAGTCTGAGGATCCTGAACAGCTTTACACTCCCTATAGCAATTAGAAAGACACATTTGTGGTAAAGATAGGCATTTGCTGTTGAATTAAAGATGCTTAACCAGCTAGGCTCCAGCATCTGAGATTCTGCCTTTTTCTTCCCCTCTTCAAACAGCCCTAATAATGTAGATGCTATTTTCAAAGGTAGAAAATTCAAAGTATGGTTGCCTTGTAAAAAGAGTATCCCCATTTTCTTCATATTTTTATTCCCTCCCCTCAATTCAAGCTCATTAGTATTTCTACTACTGCAGTTTGAAACAACATTAGTCAAAACATCTTTCCATAAAACTCCCTCCCTTTTATCATTTATTTTACTGATTAGAACCAAATAGAGCATGAGCTACAAAGGAAGAACTTTTGCTCTTCGTCTGCTGACAACAGGCAAACCAAGCATGGACCTGCTGGTTTATAAATATCTTCCAGACAGTCAGTCACATCCAAGCCTCCCTAAAAGTGAATTGAGGGGAAGAGATGTGTTTGGACAAAAATCTTGTTCCGGATCATTTAACCATTAAATTGAATGAAGAATTCAATTATTTGTTTGCACTGCATAGAAATATTTGGGCAGATCTTCACTGTCAAAAAATTGGACACAACTATCTCTTTTCTATTTTTGCTGCAGTTGCTGTAGCATGAATGTACTGGCAGGAGCTTAGTAAAGGGATGATCACACAAATGAATAAGACACCTGGATGCACCTGGGCAGTCCAGACTGCTAGATTCTTGATTTTTTTATTTATTTTTATTTATTTTTCCTGTTAGGTAATCCAGGTGAAAACTACTGATTACCTTTATGTGACACTAAGTGGGATAAAGTAGCATTGTTACTTCATGAACTACAACTAAGAACCAGGATAAAGCATTCAAACAGCATCAGACCTCACATATACAGTCAAGCTTACCAAAGCATCCATGTGGTTGCACTTTTACATGTCCAGGAGTTGTGTTTTTGTGGCTGCATATGTTCCAGTATTTGGTGTTTAGCAGTACCATTTATGTTTGTTTTTCTCTCCTAGGGAATGATAACAAAACATTCAGAAGGATGTTGTAACTGTTTAGTATTTTATTAGGAAAAAAAAAAGAAAAAGTGGAACACCTTTTGGAACCCAGCTGTTTGCAGTTTGCTCCTGATGCCCATTTTCCCCTGGAACAACTCCTTAAAAATGGCTATTTTTATAGCTTTACTACTATTGGTAAGCATCTTTCTAGAGATTAACTAGAACAGAGGAACATAGTCTTGTTATTTGAAACAGCTGGGTCAGGTGCCCTGCTATGTGGCTCTGCTACGACTTTGTATATTCGTTGCCTCCAATTCCTCCAGATTCAAAATTTCATTAGCAATTCACTTACATGTTACTGGTCCCTTTAATTTTGACAGGACAATAAGCAAAACAAGTAGG